AGAGAGAGAGAGAGAGAGAGAATCGAGGCGTTATCGCGAGAAATATGGGGGAGAGAATCTGGCGAAACTGGAACGCGGATAATAAATGATCTCGAGCGCCAGGTGTTTGCTGATAATCGGCTGGAACTTTTACGCTTGGCCTTCCATATTCTTTTCTTTCTTTCTTTCGAAGAATTTCGTATTCCTCGTAATCGTTGTCGAATTAACCAACGAGATCCGTACACTTTGGCACGGAAAAATATATTGGACGAGCTCGAAAGGGATAAGCAGCGGAAGAAAAGGAGGCCGTAGTTGGTTGCACACGACTATTTATAACGAATCGATACGAGCCGTCGGCCGTCGAGTTCTTCACGTGCTCGAGCGTAGCACGTGCAAAGCGATATCTACGTATATACGAAGCCAACGTAACGAAAACGAAAAATGAAATGGAAATAAATAACGAATCCTCGGGCTCGGTGCAACGGTATTGCAACGGTATTGCAACGGTGGTGGCCCGATGCTAGTCTTGGCTTGGAATCTCGCTTGGGTTGGTATAATCGCTTCTGTTCGTGGCAGCTATGAGTTAGGGCGTTAATTGGACGATGCTTGGATTTGTCGTGCGCGAGATTAACGGGTTGGGCGTGCGTGAGCGCGCGATTTATCCTCGCGGACGGCTCAACCCTCCCCCGTCCCTCCCCGAGAAATCGTATAGTTTTTCTATGATTTCATTTTCCGTCGATCATTCCAACTTGCGAGCGTGATTAAAATCGACGAGAGGTCCCGCAGAGGTGTATTCGTTACGTTTTTTTACAAATAGATAGATAGAAGATGAACGGGTGGAAATATCGAAAATTCATTTATCTCTCTCTCTCTCTCTCTCTCTCTCTCTCTCTCTCTGTCTCTCTGTTTCTCTGGGTTCATTTATTCCCGTGTATCCCTCAGGACGAATCCGCGGCGATTTTTTTTTCCTTCTCCCGGGTGTATCGATCGTTTTAGCCTGTGGTCGAATTATGCGACGTGACGACGAATGAAATTGCGGATCGCTGAAAGGACGATTAATCGTTTGACGGGGAACCGGTCGAGAAAGGAGGGGAAAATGTTCGTCGCTATGGTGTTGCACAAGCACAATAAGCACAACAATGGGAACAACTCGAATCACAACAATTCGAGCAACAACAATTCCACCAACCGCACAACCAATAATCTCAACAACAACAACCACCACATCAACAATAATGTCACCAATCTGAATCAAACGTTCAACGCGAGGGCGGTAAGTAAGTGTTGAGAATTTCCTTTTTTTCTCTCTCTCTCTCTCTCTCTCTCTCTCTCCCCAATATGTATGGTTCGAATATATTCCCCACCACGCATCCTCCGTATTATTTAGCAACGATTTAGCAACGTTAACGTAATAAAACGATTTCCAGAAGAAGGAAACGATGCGATAACGTTGCACATTTTGCGCTTTATCGATTCGTCCCCGCAAAATCCAAAAGCATGAGACATGTTGTGCAATTTTGCACGATCATTAGAGGCGGTTGAACGAGGAAACGAGTTTTGTTTGAAGTAGTTTGATATACAAATCCCTCTCCCCCGCATATACACCTGTTGCACATTCTGTCCGAAACGAAACCTGTCCGATTAATCGAAGTGACAGTAATCTTGCTGAACGGGCGTTTATAAGCGTGCAGGGGTGGCGCGAGGGAACGAGCGTTCAAACCGGTAATACTTGAAATCCCGTTAAAAACCATCATTCAAATGAAATGAAATGAATTTTTCGTCCATGCCCGATCGATTATAAACGTTTTCGGCCAATAAACGCTATTTTCACCGTCGCCGTCAAACCGAAGATTCGACAAAATTCCGAGCAATCCGATTTCGCTTCGCATGCGATTCGCTTTCTTTTCGTTGAAAAAACCGCAAACACGAAAGATTCGAAAAGATTTCTTCATCGTCCATCGACGCGAAATCGCGAAATCGGCTGCGCCTTCCACGCCATGGGCCGAAGGGAAGAATTTGCTACGATTTCGCTGATGCGGATGGGCGTTTCGCCGTTTCTTTTCTGAATTTATTCCGTCCCTCTCCCCCCTTATTCTCGATTCCACCCAAACTCCCCTCTATTTCCTCGGTTTCTCTCTCTGTCCCTCTCTCGTCAATCTATTAACCGTCGCAATGGATTGATAGATTTCATTTCTCGTTCGCGCTGCCCCCAATTTCAATTCTCGCGCGCGTGTGTATTCAGATTGGTGGAGATACATCGGCGAGCATACGTGGTGGATAGATTTTAGAATCGTATTTGAAGTTGAAATCGGGTCAACATCGGTGGAGGAAACGCGCGGATAGATCCGTCCTGTATTATTTCCCCGAGTGGACGATGTTCGGTGTTTCGTTGTAAAATAAAAATGTGCGGTTTTCAGCGGAATTATCGAGGCGTGGAGCGGTGGTATAGCGGTGGATACGCGGCGCGTCGCGCCATCCCCGTCATTTCCCGTCAACGTGCCGTGTCGACAATTTTTACGAGCTGAAACGCAATTGCAACCGATGTTGCTCATTTACCGTGGCCTCTTAACGACTTTACGATTCCATTAAAACGCGATTATTGATTTATGACCGGCCGATAATGCACAGACGCTTCACGAATGACGCGTTCCTTCTCTTCTTTCTCCAATCGTTCAATTATTTTCTCTTTTTTACGAATGGTATAGCGAGAGATACGTTATATCATATCCAGAGAAATGATATCACGTGCCTCCACGTCATTCGCGATCCAATTTCTGCTTCAATTTCTGCCCGCGAATTGACTAGTGGGATATATGGGGTCCATCGATATTTTATCTCTTTTTACTTCAAAATTTTGCGCCATTGTTTTTCATATTCTTTGCTCCAGTATCTCTTTTTCTTCTTTTAATTATTTGTTTCATCATCCCTCGCAAATAATTTCCCTGTGGCGCGATTTGCATCCTGTTTGTCGGATCGAGGTTTATTTTTCGAGGACGAAAGGATGGAGGACTTGGAATAACTTAATTGCACATCTATCGGGAGGGTTTCGTCTCGGGCTCCGCCGGTCGCGCCGGTTCAAGAGGTTTGCATGCAAATGAACCAGCGAGATTAAGTCCTTTGTGTTATTCGGTTCTGATAACGAACGTGTTAAAGGACCTCGCCCCGAAACGCTATAAATTAACAACTAGATTAAACTGTCCATCGTCTCGCTGCCACGCGGCTTTGCATTCCAAAAAGGTTCGTCTTCAAACGCGGCCGGATCGATACCCGCGACTTATCGTTTATTCTATGACCCTTAATTGGCAACTTGAAATGAAAGTTGCGCGATCGAGCTACAGCTCTTTGTCTCGAACGAGATCGGACCTGATATTTGGATTTTTTTAATAATAATGTGTATTCGATAAAATATTTGATTATTCGTCGAGTAATGTAATTGATAACGATTTTAAATTAATAAACTGATTAAATATAGTAAATTATAATATTTAAAGAGAGACAAAAATTTTACTGATTATTTATTATTTATTGTAAAAAAAAATATCGAAGAGAGATATTCAATCGTTATCGATTAATTAATTCTAAAAAAGGAGAAAGATTGCAATTAAAAATATCTCTATTCCGTGGCAATCAGGCAAATTTGTTCGTTAACGTAGGGAACGTGTCCATTAACGAAGCACAGAGATTATAAGCTCTCGATCATTCGTTATAACGCGAACGTGTTGAACGTCTCTCTCGAAATGCTATAAATCGTCTACTAGATTAAGCCATTTATCACGTAGTGGTGGGGCGCGCGTGTTTATATCGTTCGCAGTCTCGAATCCTTCATTCGTGATTCGAGTATCAGCGGGGAATGATATACAATCCGGATCGAGATTTTTCTACGACGCATTTAAAGGTTGAGAGAGTACGTAGCCAATAAATCTCGTTGAAAAATTTCAAAGAAATAGAGGAATATATACGATTTCGATTCGATATTTCGATTACTTTTTTCTTTTTTTCTTCTTTTTTAAGGAAGCCGATTAGTTTATTGCATTTTCCAACCAAAGTTTCTCGAGGAAGGTGTGAAGGGAAGAGAAACGAAAGAGTAGAAGTGTTGGTACGTGGCGTAGAACAAAAGCTGTTAAATAGATCGAGTAGAAGTGGATCAATGCTTCTTTTTCGTCAAAAGAACACACCTCCTTCTTCGCATCGAGCGCTCTACGTTCTTCTTCATCCTCCTTAGCTCAATACACGCGAATCAATCCGATTTCCCGGATACTTTTCTACCACTACACTCTCGTCACGAGTCTCCCCGAAATCTTTTTACCAAGATATTTTTGTCTCGCTTTCCTCCACGAAAAAAATCTATTTATTTCGTGAAAGTAAGTTTAACAACGATTCAGCTTCACGACGATAATATTACGAATATCGAGGTATTATTAAAATTTATTATCTATAGTTTTTTTATTGTTATATATCGTAAAAATATCGTTAACGAAAATGAATAAACTTTTTTTGAAAAAAAATTATATTATATATTATATATATATATAAATATATTATATATTATATTATTTATTATATTTATATATTTATTTATAATATTTATATATTATATTATATATTATATATATATTATATTATATATATTATATATTGTATTTATAAAATATAATATCACTGTATTATATTCGATTCGTTTATCTCAACGATATGTCGAAAAGTAAACAGTTGATTCATCGCCCGTAACATTTCTAATAATAACTTTGAACGAGAGAAAGAGGATTTCAATTTCATAATATTATCGAAACATAAACATATCCATAACAATATCGCCAGTCACTACTCGTCGACCGCACAATAAACAACGAAAGGAAGAGCGTTCGAAACGAAAATTAATAAATTTTTACTGAAAAATTATATTATATTCTAATCGTGCGTCTTAACGATATTTCGATATAATCGAAAACTAAACGATTGGTCCATAATATCTTTAATAATAACGAGAGAACGAGAGAAAAACGATTTCGATTTCGTAATATCATCGAAATATATATCTCCATAACGATATCGTCAGTCACAACTCTTCGTCCGCACA